TGAGGCGCTGTCCCTGAGGGTATTTAAAAGACGTGTAGATGTGGTGCTTAGGGACATGGTTTAGTGTTGTACTTGGCAGTGTTAGGTTAACGGTTGGACTCGATGATCTTAGAGGTCTTTTCCAACCTAAATGATTCTATGATTTTATAAGTGATTTAAGTAACCTTTGAGCTGACAGAATCTCTGTTACAGAAGACCTGAGTGATCAACTCCTTTCCCTGGTACTGCAGATGATCACTTTGTGGAATTCAATTTTGCAAAATTATAAGTCTTTATAAATCTTATCTAGAATCTTTTGAATAAAATTTTAGTTCTTTCAAAAAAGATCTTCAGAAAACATGCTTATTCTCTTGTTCTTATATGAAGTCTCAATTAAAGAATGCTGAGTACAGACTTCATGAGGGTAGTTATACTTTCATCCTTTTTAAGTACTTACATTTCTGGACCACAAACACACAACATTTAAGAACCTCAAAATCACACAGAGAAATGTGTTTGTTCTATTCTGTGTGTGCTTGGAAGATACTTTATTTATCTCTGAGTTTGAAAACTGCATTTACTAGAATGTTTTTGTTGAATTTAATTTATATTATATCAGTCTTGATCCAAATTACTAGTCAGTGCTGTCTGGTAAAAATGCATTATCAGTGTAAGCAGATCATATTTCATAACCTAAGAAGCTTCTTTTAGAATGCCTTTAACAAGAAGTAGGAAGTGGAAAGCTTATCCAGTCAAGTATTTTTTTATGTCTGCAGCCAGAGCATTTTTCAAGTTCACAGTATTTTCAGAAAAGCCTTGACTTAATGTTATGGAAACAAATAAAAGGACACAGTGCTCAAAACCAAGTTTTTCACTTAGTAGTATTAGTATTTGTCTAAGGTGATATGTGAATACATTTTTTGTTTCTATTAAAGCTTTGTAAATACTTCACTTGTTTCTTTAACTTTTGGAGGACATTAAATGTCAGTGAACAGATTCCTGGTACTTGCTTCTTTTTCTCTTACCTTCTTTCCTCAATTCCAATTTATTTTTATTCACAGCTCCCTGTGGAGGAAACTTGACTGGCTCATCAGGTTTTATACTTTCACCAAACTTCCCTCATCCTTATCCCCACAGCAGAGATTGTGACTGGACTATCACTGTTAATAATGATTATGTTATATCATTAGCATTTATCAGGTAAACTGCTCCTTGCTCATAAGTTTTAAAGTCATGTTTGTAACTTTATTATTGGCAGTTGTTCAGAGCTTTGTAGGGTAACATATGTATACTTAATATAACTAAGTGATTAGTAATTTTTATCTTTGTTAGCAGTCACAACAAATACATTTGAGTATTCAGTACACATAGAGGTGGAGCTTGGGAGCTCATTGCTCCTGTTCAGTTAAAAGCACTCTCAGTTTACACCGACTAATGTGGAAGTAGATGGTGCTCAATTTACCAAGATTCTCTTCCTGAGAAGGCAGCATGGAGTAACTCACTGAATTGTCCCCAACCCAGGAAGATGGTCTTTAAAGATGAAGCCTGTTGATTCATCATATTTCGTATGAGACACTCACCTGCTATTTAAGCGAAATTACAAAAGTAGTCTTTAAATTTAGTTTTATTAGTCAGTATCATTTCAGGATACTTCAACAGGATACTTCCTGTTGTTCTGGTTATTAAATGGAATTGGTTTAGCATTTTCCTTTCTCACAATGCAAGATCAAATTGAGCTTAATAGAATCCACAGAGGAACTTTTGCTGTCTGCATTGTATGTAACCCATAAAGAAAATTAATACACATATTATGTGTGAAAAATATGCATCCCAACTGGGACATATGATGGTATCACAGAAAAGTTAAAAATTGTACTTGTAATGTCCCATCAAATTAAAATCCTTCTTATGCTGGATGTTCTATAATAGTGGCTTTATTGTTCTGATCAGTGATAATGTGATTACTTGTTTCATGTTGTAGGTCATACAGTTGTCTATTCTCGGTGCTTAGTGATATAATATGTGTTTTGAAGAATTCCCTCCAAGCAAATTAATCACTTGATTATATTTACATAATTAACAATTTAACTATTTTGTTGGTGATTTCAGAATGCTGTAAGGTGCTAAGCAACTTTATATTGTGCAGTAGCACTTTTTTTTTTTGTTTGGTGAAATATCATGAGCTCAAAATATTTAAGAATATTCTGCTCTTTATATTGTACATTTAGATACAAGAGATCCTTCATCTTAGAATAAAAACAATATTTTACAGTGTGTCTCAGTATAGTATGTGAACTGCTTATAGATCCCAAATATTGCCAAGTTGTTCTTAAAATCTGGACAGTTGCTATGATTCTTGACAGAAGCTGACAAGCTTAGTCTTGGTCAAAGTAGATTGCATACTTACTGAGAGTTGCCTCACTTAACAACACACAGATTGTTCAAGAGTGAGAAAAAAACCCTTCCTGTATAAACCAAACTTTGGAAACTCCACTGAGTACTGTTAAATATGCTTTCGGGTGGGACTTACTCCAGCTACCCCTTATAAACTCAAGACAAACTATGGCACTTTAAAAATCGAAGCTGTTGACATTTGACTTTTGCATTTCTTTTGTAAGGAAATATTTTCAAAATAATCTAAAAGTTAAAAAATACTTTCCCTGAAGGAGCTGTATCAGGTCTTCAATGCCTACATTTATTTTAGTCAGGAGCTAGTGTTCAGTAGAGAGAAATTAATTCTTTCATTCTTTTACTAACAATCTTTTTAAAAACTTTTTTTTGTACAGGGACAATCTTATAAGTAAATTTGGTCAACTCTCTGCCCTTAACTAAAATTAAGTTCAAAATTAACTAATTAAGTTAATTAACTATAGTTACATAATTAACTAAATAAATTAAATTTAAAAAAAATTACTAAACTAAGTTCAAAAGAAAAGGTGAAGTTTCAATACTACCTTTTTTCATTTAAACTTATTATAGGCAAAATGCTTCTTGCTCTTAGGGTTACTGGAAGGTCATCCTCTGGCTGTGTGAAAGTGTTCAGTCTGACTGGAAACTGTGTACACTACGCTGTAGCTGACTGCATTATATCATAAATCATTTCTGCCAAGGTTTCCAGTAGATCTACGTTGTTTATTTCTCTAAAGCTTTAAAAATATTGTTATTAATTTTTTTCTATTTAAAAAGTTTACTTTTTTTCCCTGGCTAGCAGCAAAATACTGTTTCTAAGCAGAGAACTAATAAATACAGTATTTATGTTGTTTTCTAACAAAACACTTCTACAAACCATTATTCTGACAGTGGAGGGTTTTTTCCTTTTATTAAAACAGTGATAGTAAACTTTTATTTAAGCTAATAAGAGTGAAAATGTCAGGGAAAGCATATTCTATCTAATATTTCTCTTTTTTGTTCTACAGTTTCAGTATAGAACCAAATTATGATTTTCTTTATATCTATGATGGGCCAGACAGTAATAGCCCACTGATTGGGAGCTTTCAAGACAGCAAACTGCCAGAGAGGATAGAAAGCAGTTCAAATACCATGCATCTGGCTTTTCGGAGTGATGGATCTGTTAGTTTTACTGGATTCCACCTAGAGTACAAAGGTAAATAAAATTATTTTTCTTTTCTATTAAAAAAGTTCAATGCACGAGTGTAAATTTTAATCTGTTTTAAATTATCATAGTTTTCTGCCTGCTAATGTTTTGGTTTTGCCTAAAAGTATGATAATGTGTATTATCTATACATGCAAAATATAATGTTATAAGGGTACTATTTTAAGGTAAAGCTTCTAGTATGATTTCATTTCGCTGATATATGATAATGTTAAAGGCACGATTCCAATGAAAAAAAAAATCAGACAGCAGTTTACATGTTTCAAAACTGATGATGCAGTGACAAAGCTTAACAGCATATATACATGTTTTTTTCAGATTATAATTTATTTTTATTTTTCCTTTACATAGTACAGCATGTTGGCATATGTGCATTTAAGATCCTGTAAGATGAAACAATGTGCTAGAATCTAGGAGACCAATATTGAAAATTAAAAAATATTTTGGCTAGACCTTTGTATGATAGGCCATGGTAGAGCTGTCTACCTGTCTCAGACAGATCTGTCTGAGGTCATAACACAGTAAGCAAGAAAATACAGGCTTGTAAAATTCATAATCAATGAGAGATTTCATAACTGCCTCTGTGTGGCTCAAGAAACAGAAATACTTGATATTAAGTGAATATGAAAATATCCAATAATCTGTAAAGACAACGAGAGGGAAAATATGGATGTTGCTGATTTAGAGGCAATATATCCTAACCTCCTTGGACTTCTTTTCTTCTCCATTTATTCTCAAAGCAATTAGTAAATGCAAAGGTATACAAGGGGAAGGCTGATGCATTTGTTGCTTTGGCAAACCCACAAAGTCTCCTTTTACTTTCCTAAAGTCATTGGATTCTACAGATATAAAGGAAGTTGTCTCCACAGTATGAACTAGTCCTAAGAAGCTAAAAGCAGGTCTCAAACATGTTGATGGTGAGCCCAGATGTATGTACTGTTCCACATCACTTAAAAATATTTCTTCTTCCCTCTCAACTAAATTGAAGAATAATAAATGCAGATGGAACTGTTATAGAAAGCAGTTCAGGGATGCGGAACTTGAACAAGAAAGTGTATTGGTTTTTCAAAGGGCCCAATCTTTTTCTGTTGGGCTGTTGAATATGGTCTTGTCTCATGGAATTAAAGGGTTTCTCCCATCTACTAATGCAAGTATGAAGGATACTCATTAGGGACACAGTCTCTTCTCATTCTTGATCTAGGTTTAAACAAAGAAGTGAACCACTGTACTTTGGAATCAAGGCAGAATACTGTTTCTAACATTACTGCTAGCCTGTGTGTACCACTAAGATCTGTTATTTCTTTCTGTGCTTCCAGGAGCCATGATGCCAAATAAATGACGTAGATTTTCACCACATTTGTAAAGGAACTGTAGGCATTAAATTATGTGTTTGTGCGTGTATATGTAAGTGAGGGGAAGTTTGAGAAAGGAATCAACCTAATCCTAATTTTCCCTGTTCACCTGATATGGTTATATCTCCTGCTTTTCTCAGAATATCTGGAGTATGCATTTCAACTTCTACCTTAGAACAACGAGACATAAACAAAAGGAAGTATTTTAATTCCCATTAAAAACTTTCAAGGATTATTAAATTTGGACAGCTCAAAATCCTTTAAGCAGAGGACCAGCTTACTCAGTGAATTTTTCCATTTTTACTGGGACTATCTGCTAAATATGACACTGTACTGCTTAACTTACTTTAGGAGTATCATAAGAACACTTACTGTGAGGCCATACCTTGAATACTATGTTCAGTTTTGGGCCCCTCACTACAAGAAAGACATTGAGGTGCTTGGGCGTGTCCAGAGAAGAGGAACGAAACTGGTGAAGGGTCTAGAGAACAAGTTTTATGAGGAGCGGCTGAGGGAACTGGGGTTGTTTAGTCTGGAGAAAAGGAGGCTGAGGGGAGACCTGATCACGCTCTACAACTACCTGAAAGGAGGTTGTAGCAAGGTGGGTGTCGGTCTCTTCTCCCAAGTAACAAGCGATAGGACGAGAGGAACGGGGAGGTGGTGGAGTCCCCATCCCTGGAGGTATTTAAAAGACGTGTAGAGGTGGTGCTTAGGGACATGGTTTAGTGTTGGACTTGGCAGTGCTAGGTTAACGGTTGGACTCAATGATCTTAGAGGTCTTTTCCAACCTAAACGATTCTATGATTCTATGATTCTATGTCTTAAAATTTGAAAGTGATATAACTGTTATTAGTTGGCAAAAGAGCAGTTGTAAAGATTCTTAACAAATTTTTGTTAGTTTCTTGCATAGTGGATTGTAAGTATCAAAATAATGTAAGCATGATATCTACAATAGAAAACTGACATGCATTTAATTTAGCCAAAATGAATAATTACATTATTGAGGAGAAAACTCTTAATAGAATGTTTTATGAACCAAGTGTCTTTTTTTTACTTATAATGTGTGACTGAGCAGGTAAGGTACAGAGCAGCAGACTTCAGGGAGGAGTTATTAATGGTGTGATATATCATAAATAGGAAGGAAAAGGCAGAGGAAGGTAAGGAATGGATTTAAGGTGTACACCTAAGAAGTTCTAAACTACTTTGAATAAGAGCTGCCATTTTGTGAAGGGTTAACATTTTCAAAAGCAGAGAATGGTTAGGTTAGTTGAGGAAACTAACTACAGATGATATTGTTGTAGGTGCCTGGCACAGACCAGCTGGCCAAGAGAAAATAGGTGATACCTGGAAGAAGCATAACCTTAGTACTCACAGGGAATTTTAACTACTCCAATAGCTGCTGCAAGGACGATGTGGCTTAGCACAAGTAGTCCAAGGGATCTCTTGTGTGTGTTCATGACAATTTTTTGATGCAGGTGATCCCCTAGCTGACTAGGGCAAATGCTCTGCTGGAATGATTACTCACCATTGAGGCTGAGGACCCAATGAAAAGAAAATGGAAAAGGTTGTGGTACTTAATACCTTTTTACCTTGTTTTTTACTGGTATGTTTTGCCTCCAGTCCTCCCTGAACCTACTAGTAGGGTTTGTGGGAGTGCAGCATTATTCACAGTGGAGGAAGAAAGAGTCAGGAAGCAATTAAGCCATCTGGTTGTACATATGTCCATTGGAACAGATGAGATGCACCCAAGAGTGTTGAGGAAACTGGCTGATGCCACTGCAAATCTGCTTTCTGTCATCTCTGAAAGGTCATGGCAGTCAGTGTGGTTCCTGGTAAATGGAAAAGGTAAATATCATGTGCACCATGAAGAAGAGTGAGACGAGGACCTGGGAAAATACAGGGCTGGTCATTTTAAACTCAATCTTTGGAAAGATTATGGAGCAAATCCGCCTGGAAACTATTTCCAAAACAAAGGACAAGTAGCTGTTTGGGAACAGTCTGCATGGATTTACCATGGGGAATCGTGCCTAACCAACACGTCACTGTCTATGAGATGAAAGGCTGTGTGGACAAGGGGAGACTAGTGGATATTGAATACCCTGACTTCAGAAAGGCCTTTGGCGCACTCTCCCCCAGTATCCTGAGAGCCCAATTTGATGAGATATAGGCTGGCTAAGTGGATGATAACGTGGGTGGAAAATTGACTTGATTGCTGAGCTCAGACTCTTGGCTACTATTAATTGTGATTAATAATGTGGGCAGTATTCTCTTTATTGATGACCTGTATGATGGGACAGAGCAAGTTTGTGGACAACACTTGTTTTGGGGGAAATGTCAGTACTCTGGAAAGTAGCATTGTTGTTCAAAGGGATCTTATGAGGCTGGAGAATCAGACTGATAGGAGCCTTTGACAAAGGCAAATGCAAAGTCCTGCATCTTTGATGGAATAACCCCATGCAACAGTAAAGGCTGGGGGCTGACTGGATAGGGTAAAGCTCTGCAGAAAAGGATCTGGAAGGCCTTGTGTACAAATTGACCATGAGCCAGCAGTGTGTCCTTGTGGTAAAGAAGGCCAGCAGCCTTCTGGGCTGAGAATGGAAGCAAGAGTGGAATCAGCTGATCCAGGCAAGTGATTCTTCCCTCTGGATCTTCTGACATCACACCTGGAGTACATTTAAGGGCTCACCAGTGTTGGAAGAATTTTGACACACAGAAGTAAGTCCAGTCCAGTGGAGAGTCACCAAGATGATTAGGAGGGGGGAGCATATAACATACAAAGAGAGGCTGAGGGAAATGTGTTTGCAACTACGTAATGAGAGTGTATAGAAAAGACAGAGCCAGAGTCTTCTCGGGGGCACATAGTGATAAGATGGGAGATAATGGGCACAAGTTGCAACAAGAGAAGTTTCAATTAGGTATTAAGAAAACAAAAAAATCACTCTGAGGATAGTAAAACATTTGAACTGGTTGCCCTGAGGTCATGTCATCTGAATCCTTTGAAATCATAACCGGACTGGACAAAGGCCTGAGCAACCTAATCAACTTTGCGTGGGGGCTGTGCTACATCTCTTTCAACCTCAATTGTTCTGATTCGATGAACTTAACTTTTTCACACAAATTGTAGCAGCTGCAGTTGTGTCCTACATGTACACTAATCTTATTTTAAGTGGTAGTAGTACTCAAGTTGTACTTCATTGACAGGCCATATTTTTCAGATACAAATCTCAGACCTGACCCATGTCTCAGGTCTGGTCTGTAATCATGTTTCTGGTTGGGTTTTGTTCTTCCCTCCCTCACTTCATTTCTATTTTATAATGGAGGAGTGGCTTATTAGTTCTCATAAGCGCTCTGGAGAATAATTATGGAATGTTTGCTATAGTTAGGTATGTCTGTAATATTCTCTCTAAGAAGCTTCTTATGGCTTTGTTCTCTTTGAGACTTAGAGATGGAGTAGTAAGCCATCAAGTTCTGGACAAAGCACCTGCTTCTCTTGGCTTTCAATGTTGTTTTCCATACACTGAGATACTAGTTTTCTAGAGGGTTTTGGCGTCATTACCATATGTTAGCCAACAGAGACTTCCTTGGTGAACTTAAGATTGCAGTAGCACATATCGCTACCTGTTTTCAGCCTGTATTTCAGAAGCCTTAATTGATCCAGTGGTATGCCAAAGTTATCAGAGAAGTAATTGCTATTTTTCTTGAAGCTTGTTGCAGAATTTTATTATGGGCAAAAGGAATTTATGTATGCACAGCCAAGAATATAATGTTACTGAAACTCAAATCTTAATTGTCTAATTAAACAATTATTTTTAGTCCATACATAATTATTATGGAAAATAATTTAAAAAATACTACTACAGAAAAAAAGTCTTCATCATAATACAGCTAAAATTGTAGCACGCACACTCTCCAGCATTTTCCCTGATGTGCTGCTAAACCTGCCACTGCCCTTCTGTGTTTTCAGCTTAATGATACTAGTGTTCTTGGGAAAGAAAGGGGAAGGGCTTACAGGGGTCATCAATGTCTTGAGTTCTTCAGTTGGGGCAATATGACATTGATGGTGAAGGACTTTTCCTCCTGTCTCCTCAGAGCACTTCTATTTTATTTTTATAAATTTGCTAATACAGTCGTCTTCTTTGCTCTTTTTCTCACTGGTTCTCAACTAGACCTGATGAATCCTTTTGCCACATTTGACTTCATTCTTCATATATTGTAGCGTAGTATACTGACTTTACAAGTTCACTTAGCAGCTACTTCAGATTTGCAAAAGTAGTTTGAAGGTGCTAAGTATTTCAGGCTTTATTTTTCAGAACAGTTATTAAGAAACTGTGTTTCTATAGTGACATTGTTTCTGTTTAGTCAGCAATTTCAGGAGTCTGTCACAACTGTACCTTTGGGGAAAAGAAGCTTAGAGGGCTGTAATTTTTCCCTAGAGAAAATTTGTGCTGTGACAGATCATGTCTTTCCTCAGTTTTTGATTTATGCACCAGACATAACAGATTACTTTATCTTCTTCTCTCTTTAATTTCTCATGTAGTACTAGTCTCTACTTTATCCAAGGATCGGCTACAATTATGGAACATGGATTTCTTATCATAAACTCAAGAATGGTGATCTCACAATACCAGTTGTGTATCAATACAAATATATCAATATCAGTTCAGTAAGAAGAAAAAAAAATGTTTTCTTGCTATTGTCAAAATATTAGTTATAATCCTACTTTTTTTTTTTTTTTTATTTTGGTTTTTTTTTTTTTTAATTTGAGAATTTGGACTTGAAACAATTTTCAGTTTGCCCTAAGGTCTTCCAGACTTCTCAAGTGACAGTGTGCTTGGCTTACATATTTATTATTAATATGTATGTGATATCTTACAGACTTTCTAGTAAATTGTATCTTTTAAATTTTGATTGTCCACTCAAATTTATTAATATGAGTGTTACAAAAGTTTTAGCCTTTCTTTTTGTAATGTCACACTGTATTTTGAACCTCACCATTCAGAACAGGAGACAGATGTTCCAGGCACCACAGTACAACTACCTAAATGAATCAATGTGGATATCAAATACCTGTTCTTAATAATTATCTACATGATGTAACTATTACTTGTTATTGTCCTGTTTTTCATATCAGAAGCATGCTCTGTAGATTAGATATGCAAATCCTGATAAATTGTTAACCGCATTAGGAGATCTTCACATTCTTTTGGAAGATGTGAAGTTGAAATTTCAAAAGAATTATTCTGTGTTTCCATCTTCAGAGGTAAATGTACTTTTATGGTTTTGCAGTGTAATTCTTTCTCTCCTCTCAGAAATACTACAACATAAAAATGACCTTAGGGGATCAAACCAACCATCTACTTAGTTCATTAGCTTGTCTCTAGTAGTGACCAATAGCTGATATGTGGCTAAACTATATAAAAGTTAAATATATAATCATTTCTCCATATTATCTGTAAGTTTTCAGAAACTTCAGCTTAGGTACTGCCAGAATCAGATGAATTGTCTTTGTATTTAAAGCTCTTAAATAGCCTTCCAGGAATTTCAAAGCTCATATAGTCTTTTGGCAACTATACCCGCCTGTAGCAGAAAGGTCCATAGTGCAAATATGCCTGGTAAAAAACCAGCTCTTTTGATGTATTAGAAAGTTGGCACCAATCTTGGAGAAAGTGAGTAAGTGTTCTCTATTGATCTTCTCCACAACACCCTTAAATGGTAAAGAAGAAAATCTGAAATTTCTATCTTCTGCTTGATAAAATAAATTACTCCAAACTTCATTCTGCATAGCACAAAATCATCCGCTTCATTCCAGCTTCTAGCATTTCCCAATACTTTTACTGTTTTTTCCTTAATGGAAAAACATTGCAATTTTTTCCAAAATGTTTACCTTTTCTCCCCTTCTGCATAGTAATGTTGTTAATTAGAAATGCTGAGTGATTATTTTTGTGTAGTTTGTTATGTCTTGGATATTAAACACACCTGTATTCACATTATAGAAGGAAGAGGGAAGCAAAGATAAGAGCATATACTTATGTTTTAATTTATTTCAATATTTTGAAACAAATAGCTATAAATAACAAAAAAAAAGAGATAAAGGAATATTTCATTCCTTGTCCTCCAGTGAGGGGAAAAAAAGCTATATGAAAATATATCAGTATATCATATGCATGGATATAGATATTCATTTGGGGTTTATTAATTTTGAAGAAATTCTTGTTTGCATACTTTTTATTTTGTAACAAACTACTTATATTGGTTTCCTCCAATTAGCAGTTTTCAGACCACAGATTTTAAAACTAGGAAGTGTCTTATCTAACTATGTAACTACATCATTGGTCACAGTGAACTCTGGAAAAATAGTTCTTATAATGGAGCTCTATAGGAATTATCTAGGAAAAATATAGGAGACATTATTTTGGTCATTATATAGTGATTTGTACAGTCTTTAAAATGAAGGAGAGAGAACATTTGATGTAGAATGGAAGGATTCTTAAAAAAAAAAAAAAAAGGAACTTTATGTGTCTACAGGGTGCTCAAAGAAGATCTTGAGAGGACTCCAGAAAATATTTGTAATGTTTTAGCTTATATTCAGAATTATGTTTGCATTTGTTTCCTCTATAGCAAAGCTTCGTGAGTCTTGCTTTGATCCTGGAAATATAATGAATGGAACAAGACTTGGAATGGATTATAAACTGGGGTCAACTGTTACATATTACTGCGATGCAGGTTATGTTCTTCAAGGATATTCTACACTAACATGTATCATGGGAGATGACGGAAGACCTGGATGGAACAGAGCCCTGCCTAGTTGTCATGGTAAGAGCAGTTTTTAATTTATTATAGTTGCTATTGTTATTATTGCTTTGTCATATGGAAAAAACAGATACAAAATTAGAAGAAGCAATTTTAATAAACTTCTCTTTTAGGACAAAGCCCTTTTCAATGATATATTTAATAAAAATAACTTATTTAATAACGCAGAATAAATACTGTTTCAAGTTTTTAATAACATTGGATAAATAGTGCTACAAGTTACCAGGGCGAATAGAGGATAATAGTAATGTCACCCTTTATGCCGACCTGTATTCTTGAATTAGCAAATTTACAGCAGAGTATAGAGATAAATACCATATATATGTATTTAAATAGAGTATTAAGTATACTCTGGATGTCACAATATATGTTTGTTTCTTTTTGTTATTACTGGTTTTTAAACCACGTAGATGAAACATTTTGTATATACAACATTGCATCATTTAACCTGTTGGACATGTGGTCTTTAGAAAAATTCAGCCTTGAAATGCACCAAAGATCCAATCATTCAAACTTTTATGGATATGACATACTCCACTCATTTCAGGAATCTCCTGACTTCAGTTATATTACCACTGACTGTCTCAAGTGTAAGCATTTTCAGATTTAAACTGTAAGAAAAGATCCAATTTTTATTTTACTGATTTGGTGTTAATTCTTACCAGCAATTGATAGCCACTTCAGAAAAAAACCAATATTCTTTTCACATATTCTGTAAGATTAAGCACAAAATCTCTCCCATATCATCCAGAAATTAATAAACAACAAAAAAAAACAAATTATAAAATTAACATTTCCTGTATAAGTTAAAATAAAATCTCATTATCATGTTAATTTCAATTCCATTTCATAATCTGAAGACAAAAAAGCTGTTAAATCCATTTCCAATTTGAATATATTTATTTTAAATAGAATATGGATTTTCTTTCTTGTATACTTAAATTTCTATTGCAAAGTGGATGGTGGAGTACCAGCAAAACAGAAAAAAAAAAAGAAATTGTCAACTATAAAGAATAACCAATATTATAAGCATTTGAAGAACTTTAGTATTTTCATTATCCACCAAAACCATCATAGCACTGAACACCAAATTTCAGTGGCATCAAATTGGAAAACTGGCCCTAGCAAACTTTTGGAAATGTGTTCAGACTTGTAGACTGTGTGCAATGGAAGTCAAAAGTTTCTTCCTCATTTTAAAATGAGGTATGAATGTTGTTTTCTAGAGAGGAGTCGGTGAGGAGAGTTGTTGTATGTAAGAGGAAAAAGGTTTCCTTCTTTTGGAAGGTCTTTTTCATGGGTAATGAAAGATAAATAATTTCTTTATCAATGATGCAATAATTGTGTCTATTCATGCCACTTAAAATCTCCTTAGCAATCTTCCAGTGCTATCTATTTTAACATTCACTAAAGGGAGAGTGTTTTGCTTGGAAGGACTGCCATTTGAATAAAAGGGGAAAAAAAATCTTGGAATAAAAGGGGTAATATCTGTCACTGATTCTAACCAGACCATTTTCTTTCCTGGATGAACAAGGCCTTATTTCAAAGATGACAAACCCCACACTTTTTTAGAATATGATATCACAGCATAGGCTCCATAAAAATACCTTAGCTTTGCAATTTTCACTTGTTTTTCTTATATTGCTTTTTTCTCCAGTTCAGAATTGATGAAGGTTTGTAGATATGTTGCTGTGATATATTATAGTGTATTTTTACAACAAAATCAATGCTTTCCACTTTTGTGGAATTTAGCTCAAGAAAACCAGAACATTTATATAGCTGTAAGAAAGGCGATATCAGTTGAATAGCTTCCAATTACATGGAGTTGGCAAAAACAGTTTGAGAGCTGAATTTTGCCTCCTGACCACCAGTCTGACCTACGTAAAAAATTTGCTTAGTAGAGAAATGAGATTCCTCCATTTTGCCAGTTATATTTTTGAAACTCCACTGAAACTGTGTTATAAGGAAATGTGGTATACAATACACCGCAGTATATATGTATTTTTTCATTTTCTTATTTAATTTTAAGAAAAAAAAATTGAGAACCTGAACGCCCTTTATACCTGTAATATTTTGATCTAATGCTTTAGGTATGAAGTAAAAATTTTTTTAGAAAGTTACCTATCATTCTCTCTAAATTTTAACATTTTTAATATCAATTTAGAATCCAGGTTCTTTTATTAAATTCCTTTGAGCCATATTTAGCTGTATAGCTTTATAGGGGGAGTGAGGCATCTCAGAATATGGAAAAGAGAAATATTATAAATGAGTATTCTCATTTTGCTCCTGTTTGGAGCTAAGTAGGTCAGAGGAGAGGAAGGGAGAACTTTCAACACTCCAGATGGCTTTCTGGGCTCAAGGGGCATGTTTTACAATGTATAAAATTGGGCTTGTAAAGAGTATAATTCAAAGGACATGGAAAAGGTTTTTTTCTTCTAAGACCATTTGTGTCAGTAATATTTGAAGAAAATCATTAGATAAATAACATGGATAGCATGAGGGTGAAACTGACACAGGAGTCCAAAGTCAGACCCTATTAAGTAAAAACTCTTCTTGTTGCAGTTAATATGGATATTTTCATTGAATAGTAGAATCTCAATAGAGGAGGATAGAGTACTATCTCTATACCCATTCAGAATAACTTCACATAAGACACCTGAGAGATGGTAGATGAGTTTGAATGGTCCACGTAGAGAAAGGAGTTATGGGTCTTACCTGTTCTAAAGTCTAGCCTTTTAGATAAAATGTGGGCAAAAATACATTCTCCATTTGGAATTAAAAAGAAAATGAAGGCCATGGCTCTATTATATTGGAAGGGCAACAATTTGGGATGGCTTTAAGCATTCTCCGAAAATGTCTCGTACATGAAGCCCCATAGGAAATCTTTGTTGAGGAGCACTGATATTCTGGGCTTGGTCAGGCTTCGGCATGAACTGGCTGATGAATTGCTCAGTCTGTCAAATCTTGCTTTCCTGGGAATGTGCAAAACTAGAAAATATGAGGGTCTACAGACCCTGAAAGTCAATAACTGATGATTTTGGAGTTAGATAAAAGCTGAGCAGAGACTTTCAGGATCATAGTGGACTAGTTTTCCAAAATCTACTCAGTGCATAAAGCTGATGTTTTTGCCATTGTACCTTTATGCACCAAATGTATTTTATGACCTAGTCCTATGTGCATTAAGCATGACTTGCATTTGGTTGAAATCATTATTTAAAATGACCTTGAGCCTCTCTAATAAGTGTGGGAAGTGAACCAAATCATTGGCTTCATTCTTTAATGAACATATGCAAAGATTATCCAGGCTAATATGCTAAGCTATTTGGCATTTCATGGTGGATGTTAAGAACAGGATGTAATTAACATATGCAGATGCAATATTACTATGACAGAGATGATGATTAATGATTTATCTTAGCTTCACCAACTATAGTTAATCTTAAATTTTTGGTAACAAACAACAATTGTTTACAGAATAACAAAAAACTCTGTAGTGAGAAATCACATTTATGACTGAGTGTAGAAACCTTGTTCTTATCAGAAGAAATCATCTATTGATCACTAAAAAATATTGCTACGTTTCATTATAGTCTGTTGTTTAATCCTTGGAAATATTTGAATCTAGGCTTCAAAATATCTCCATCTGAAAGATATATCTCTCAATCTCAAATATTGTCATGAATGCCTATGATTTGTTTGCTTTTTTTTTGGTAACAAAACATCAGTATTCAGAATATTCATATGTACTGTTTGTCTTTTGTTTAAAAGAAAACCAAAAAAGTCCTGGGGTTGCTCACAAAGCAATTCCTTACCATGATATTTAAAAGCAACAGAAACATTCTTAATTATAATTGCAACAAGAAATCTTAATTCCCAGTCTTATGTACAGAATTACATATTATAGCCATGGTGGTTTAATGATTAAAGACCATACTAAAAAACAGATGCATATACATTATGAGGAAGGAGAGAGGACCTTGAACTACATGTCCACTCCTCTGTCATATGACCTAGGAGATAATTCGCATTATTAGGAGCTGGGAAAAGGGATGCCTGCAGCCTCATCTTCTCCCAAAGAAATGTTTTCCTGAAAACGGAAATGTCAGAGGAAGTACCTGTTCTTCTGTTCTTTGTTTTGGCTCTGACAGTAGCTCTTGGATTAATTTGCATTAATTCATACTTTTCGGTATGATTTTTTTGTTTCTTTCTGTCTGTATTAACTTGTCACAGCTATCTGAGCTAGCTCAGATCAGGTTTATATCTGAAAACTTTTAGGAAAGAAGACTGCACAGAAAAGCTTAATCTTACTATTTATAATTTTGTAATATATTAAATGTTGACAGCTTTTTCATTAATCATTCAATATTGATTACTTAATCAGAGGCTTTATAGGTCACATTTTTATGCACTTTTTACATAGTGAAGCTATGATTCTAATGTGGTTATTGCATACCGGTGTGGTCTTTTGAAACCATGACTTTAGTCAGCCAATTTTTTACATGATAAATCATAGTCAGACAGTACTATTACAAATTGCAAGAAAAAATGCAAATCATCACTTTCACCATTATTGACAATATTATAAAGAATTGAGAATGTTCTTGTCATAGGCAAACATATAAGTCTAGAAGAAGATGAAAGACAGGCACATTAGGCTAGAATGCTTTCTTGGGTGATTTTTGTTTAGGATAGGTAGGTAAAGACAAGGTTGAATTTCTAGGTAATCTAATTTACATTTCTTAAAAATGCTCAAGTATGTTAAAAGAATAATCAGATCTGGCATGTGATGATCTATTTTATACATATAAGAATCAAGGGGGGGTTTATGTTTATAATATTTTGGATGTAAAGATTTTGATCAAAGCAGTTGGAACTTTCATTAACTTTTTTGTCCTTTCTCTTAATTTTTGGACTACAAATGTAGAATGCTTGATTATATTCCCAAATCCTCAACTATCATATATAAGTAGTTAAAAAGAAGATTTTGAAAGGCACAGAAGAGTTGT